GATGTGCTGGAAAGCAGTCCTGAGGAAAAGGACCTGAGGGTAGTAGTGGATGAAAAGCTGGACATGAGCCATCAATGTGCACCTGCAGCCCAGAAGGCCAGCCGCATCCTGGGCTACATCAAAAGAAGAGAGAGAGGTGATTCTGCCCCTCTACTTTGCTCTGGTGAAACCTCACCTGGAATAATGCGCCCAGTTTTGGAGCCCTCAACACAAGAAGGACATGACCCTGCTGAAGCGTGTCCAGAGGAGGGCTACAAAAATGATCCAAGGGCTGGAGCACCTCTCCTGTGAGGACAGGCTGAGAGAGCTGGGGCTGTTGAGCCTGGAGAAGAGAAGGCTCCGGGGGGACCTTCTAGCAGCCTTCCAGTACCTGAAAAGTGCCTATAAGAAAGCTGGGGCAGAACTGTTCACAAGGGCACGTAGCAATAGGACGAGGGGTGATGGTTTTGAACTAGAAAAGGGCAGATTTAGGTTGGATATTAGGGAAAAAGTTTTTCTATATGAGGGTGGTAGATCATTGGAACAGGTCTCCCAGAGAGGTAGTGGAGGCCCCATCCCTGGAGGTATTCAAGGTCAGGCTTGATGGGGTCCTTAGCAACCTGCTCTAGTAAAGATGTCCCTGCTCACTGCAGGGGGGTTGGACTAGATGACCTTTGAAGATCCCTTCCAACCCAATGCATTCTATGATCCTATGAAAAAGCTGCTGTTACGGAGTTCAAAGATTTATTATCCAAATAAGAAGGAGAGAAATAAAATCTTGACAGTTTTTTGGTCATGTTGTCTGCAAAGCTGTATATTTCTCCTTGCGCTTCTATTGCTTTTGCAGTAATGAACTGTTCACACTTCCAAACAGCTGACGGCTGTGCTGAGCAGGAGCTGCACTCGTTATTACAGTAATGCTCTCAAGCACAAGTGCTGGGCCCACTTGAAGATAAATGAAGTGGAGTGTAGGTTAGGCTCTCCAAATCTTAGTTTGCATAGCTTAATCACTCAGGTAATGGAGGGCACTTTGAAATTTGCAGTAAGAAACTTCTAGACATTGATGAAGTTTTCCTCCTTTCACTATGAAACAAAGGACTAGATAGGGAGCACACATGATGTATTTGGTATTACAAACATGGTCATCTCCTGCTTGCCTGACTTTGTGTATTTCCTCTGTTATTCTGTAACAGCTATTAAAATTCTTGTTTTGACAGAGTCTTTGAAGTGGATAATTGGATTCTTTCCTAATGAGGACCATATATCTCATCATTTTCTATCAGAAGGTAGGACATTTTTGGCATGCCTTTCTCAGTAATATTTGACTGCAGTTTCAGGAATTCTGGACGTTTAACTTTATGGATGGAAAGTAGCAAGTAGCTCTCTGCAGAATGAATGTTCTGCCTTAAGTTATGTGGTAAATACTAACAAGTAAAGAAATTTATCTAACAAGACATATAGGCCATGTTTGATGTCATGCACACAACAGAATTCAGCGCTCTTAATATATGAGGTGTAGGGGCAGTGAAAAGGTGAAAATTACACTTGAATTTTGAGTGAGCCAAAGAAAGGTATTCTGCCACTAGCTGTCTAGCTGTAGCTAGAGTTGCATTCTTCTGTTGATTAGTATCACCTTGCCACCACGTTTGTATCACTGATGGCTGCTGTCATATTAATGAAGATAACATTTAGAAATGAATTAGTCTCTAATGAACTTCCAGAACTATAGCAGCAAGTTTCATAAGTAATATATTGCAACTGTTCCTTTAGCCTTAGGACATGTTATATATAATTGGCAATGCAAATTATGAAACCCAATGTTATGAACATTATGTATATTCCCATTTCCAAGATCAGTCCTGTTTTCAGGTAGGTAGAAAGCTGGATCACGTACTCTCTCCTATTCTCCTATTTTACTATTCTCCACTTACCGTAATGTGAAAAATTTTTCCTTTCTTACCAGAAATGCAGTTATTATTTTAGGGTATTACAAAAATAAGCCATAATATTATGTCTCAGAAAACTTTCATTTCTTCCCTTCTCATTTTTTTTGTCTTTAATAAAGACAGCAAAAAAGAAAAGACAAAACACAGCCAGACTGAAACTACTGAAATTACATGTTTGCTTTGACAAAAAAAGGTAGTAACACCATACTTAAGGATCAAGTTTAAAAAAAAAAAGGAGCAATAAGACAAAATGTGAGACATGAAAATGACATTTCAGAATGCTACTGTTTGGGTAGGATACACTTTTTGTTGTTGTCTTTGAAGCAAAAATATTAAATTCTAAAATTTAAAGTTATATTTTGTGGAGTATCTATGGATGAATAGCCTTAAACTCTTCAAGAATGGACAGACATGGTGACTTACCAGATTTTGCTGACAAAGCCAATAAAATTGCTGGAATTTCTGAGACATGAGGAGCTGAGCACTTCCAACAGCACTTCGGATCTTACCTAGGACTAAGCATACAGACAGGTTATTACCAATAGATGTCTTCTGGCAGCAAGTGCAAAATCCAGCTCAAAAAATATGTAGCTGAAATTACTGTTTATTTTATAAGGGAAGTAAATATTTGGTTTTGTTGCTTGTGATTGTATATATAAAATATTTTTTAAAAAGATGAAGATACAGAAAAGCTTACCCTTTGGCAATAAGAAATGATATATTAATAACTCAGAACAGCTAAGACTGTATTTGCTTAAGGAAGTAGAAAAAAAAAAGGGACTATAGACAGCTTCCTGAAGTAAGCATATGTACATAAGAACAACCTTAAATTTCAAAGTAAATGGCAACACCTTCTCCCCCTTACCTCCCCCCCCACCCCCATTTACATTTGCTCATTTAAATTGAAAGCTGTTGAAATAGTATTGCCTCAAGAACCAGTTCGATGCCTGTACCTTAGATAACATCTTCTGGTTATGCGATCACAAATGACTTCACTCAGTTGTGTGGATGATCCCTGGGTGAGCTCTCCTTATCCCCTGTTCTGGGGATAAGGTCAATACATTAATAAGATACTCCTACCACAAGGATGAGATCCTCAGAAGAATCATGTCTCTGAGACGTGTCTTGATATCCCCATCAGGAGTTACAGGTTGCCTACCCAGGAAAATACATGAAGTGCTAAGCACAGGAGCTTCAGACAAAGCGGGACACAGGCGGGTTCTCCAGGACTTCGCTAAACCATGATCTGCCCCTGTGGTTTGTTGGGCTTTCCTCACTGTCAGTGTACTTGCCACTCACAGTGTGCATAATCACTGGGGAAAGGGACCAAATTAATTCTACTTGACTTTGCTTCCAAAAGTCATCTGTCTAAATTAAAATTTCTGGATGCTCTATAATCAGTAATCTGAGCTCATCAACTCAGCCATGTTAGGCACTTATCTTTAGATGAGCTGAATCCCCTCCTGGAGATGCCTGTTTCTTTCTATTGACTGGAGTGCCTAAGGGAACTGCCTTATCCCTAGGAAACTAACTCCTCCTGGACTCCCACATTTGCTGGGATAAATACCATATTTTGGTAGGTAGCAATATACTTTCCTATGCATCCTTCCTACACATCCTTTCCTACACTTCCTTTCCTCCACATCCATATCTATGCTGAAAAAGCTACAATTTAAAAAAACATTACAAGCTGGGGTTTGAATGGAAGATTGATTTTATCTGGAGAACTTCCAAATCTTTAAATAATGTTTAGGGTAAAGAGAGAGAGAGAGGTATGGATGAGACAGGAATTATTCTGACATCTTTTAATTCAATTCAGGAAACCAAATTGATAATTCAAACAGGATGCAGAGGGTGGAATGAAGGTACAATAGTATAGAAGAACTGATCTGCAGCCTGTGATATAGAAAACATTAAACTCTGGCAGAGCTTAACACTTCGTTGTTATCTAGAATAAGTACAGGAGGGGACCAAGTGGCATGTGAAAACAGTATTTTGGTAGTAGATATTACATTTTAATTCTGCTTTCTCTGGACTAGTGAAACATCTGCTTAACCACAGGTAGCAGCAAGAGAAAATTTGGAATTTTTATGCTCCAGTTCTGTGGAAACCTACCAACTCTGTAACTTTAAAAGTACGTGTTAATATATAGAGCTGTGGTTCTCAAACTGTATTCCATTTACTGTTAGACAAACAGCACAGCTGTGCCACAACACTAAATTAAACAGCAATATGCATAATTCATCAGTCCCGTGTGGCACCCCTTGTGAAAGGGTTAAGTGGTTCAGGGCTGCACGAGTAATTCACTGGGGTTTTGTTTTTGTTTTGTTGGACAAATGAAATAAAGCATTTTAATTGGTTTGGGGTTTTAGATCACCAAATAATAACTTTCCTTTACAGAGTTATTGGCATATGGAAAGCAATGTTTTGGGTGTTAAAACCTGAACAAACATACAAAAACCTAAATAAAAAAAAAGTTTCATTTGATCTGAAACAAATTGCTTTAATATGGTTTTCAGCATTTTTAATAAAGGCAAAGACTAGAAGTGACAAACAACCTTGTATTCTCGTTTTCCCTCAGTGATCTGTAGCTCAGGACATAAGACAAACTCCCAGTGTGGGCTCAGAGTCCCTTCTTTGCCAGGATAGGGAACTGCGCTGTAGCAGGTCCCTGACATTGCCTATTCCACAGTATGTTCAACTATTCACTGGGCAGAAAGAGAGTCAGGATGATTCTGTAGGCTGATGGTTGTAGTGCTTGACTCATAGTGAGTAAAGTTCATTTTTAGTTTCCTCTGCTGAATTTTCTAGTTCATAACTCAAATACATAGCCTGAGTAAGGGGCATTGGCTTCAGCCCTACTGCAGAAATGTAGATCTTGACAGAATCTATATATGACTGGTATTTTCTAGTGAATCTCAGTTACTCCAACTCAAATATTAAATAAACATTTGTTTTATCTTCATAATCCTGAAGGATCATGTCAACAAGGACCGGTGATTTAAAGCCCAGTCAGATCAGATGTAGGCACTGGCAATGCAGCATTCTGGTGTGATATACATCTGTTGGGGATGTAAGACAGTGGTTCTGGGCTACTTGCATATGTTACTGAGTCACAGTGGTGAATACACATGTATAATTACAGCCTTACCATTTACTAAAGATCTAACTCTATTTCCATTTCAATAAGTAAATCAGACGTAATAAACCATAGAAGTCAGAATCTCTCATATTCATGCTACTCTGCTTTGCTGTAATTAAATTAAAGTATTAAAACACTTCAATTCATAATCTTTAGCACAATATTAATAGACAGCCAAAGCCTTGTTATTAATTTCATGCATTGGGGAATTATTCTGATGAGTGCAGATTGATTATCTCCATGAAAGAATGATGAATGTTAGAGACTGCAGAGATTGAGATGTTTGGTGATGCCTAGAAGATTTTGCTTGTAAATAAATGATGACAAAATCTACCAACACACATAAATATATATAATGTTAATATAATCCATATACCTCCCTCCATTAAGATAATGTTATATTTACTTGAATGTCAGGAAAGAGTCACACAACCTTAATTTTGCACCCTGACGCATACGAAGCACTCAATTTTTGTTTTGTGGTCCTGTATGGCTTCTACCCTGAAGACATACAAAACCCTGACCATGACTTCAGTAGAAGTAGACTTGGGATTTATATCCTGGATAAAGATTGGGTAAGTTGCCTGTATACAACATGCACAAATAACACAATGGTGTATTTTCCCCCGCAATAAACATATTACAAAATTGCAAGTAATATATATGTGTTATATTGCTTGAGAAATGCTACAAAATCTTGTAATTGAAAATGGTTTCATATCATAAAGGTAGAGGGGGGAAAAGTTAGATCTCTGTTGATGAAACCAAGATTATAGTCTGATGCTGTAACTCTATTCTTGACAGGTTAAAAGCTTTGCTCAATTGTGCCACCAGCAATGAGAAACTACTAACAATCAATCTGCTTCTGGCATTCATTACTGTTTTTTCTTTTTTTTAAAACGATGTGTTTTAATTTAAATTTTAATTCCATTTGATTGTTCCTTTTTTTTCCCCTGATGCTCATAAATAAATTGCTTTACAAACAATCTGAGAAAATATGCATGGAAAAAAAATTCAAACTGGCATATAGTTAATCCTCCTAACTCAAAGCAGAGCACGATACTTGTCTAATCTCTACACATAGATTAGTAATCTTCAGAAATATATATCTTCTTCACTATCAACACAGGAGGTAGGCATAATAATAAATGTATAATGTTCAGAGTGAGATGACATTTTTAGGACAGCACAGCTGCCAGTTGGCAGTGCTCTGGAGGGCAGGTAGGGCAATGGGACCCTTGTGCACCAAGTGGGACTCTGTGCAAATTTGCTTTTTACCTCAATGGAGCTGAGTTCAAAGAGGAGAAAATTTCAGCAGAATAATGCAAATGCTATGAGGAACTCAGATTCTACACTATGGAACTGTCTTTTATTGACTTTAAAGACTGTTTCAGGGCAATTAAGATCTTCTGTAGTCATTTCCAACACTCCAAATGTAAATTTTAATAGTTTCTGAAGGATAGGTCGGTGAAAAGCATTAGGAAATTATGTTAGTAATTTCTCTTTGGTTAAAGGATAACCCATATTTGGTCAAACACCTAAGAATGCTTTCATGGATGATTAATTGATGAATATACTAAAATAAATTGGTTGTGAGAGGCTGTTGGTTTGTTTTGGGGTTTTTTTCCAAAATATGGGAGATTTAACTATGTGTTTTCTGTTACTGTTTGTCTGTGTCAGTAAACCACTTGCAGTACTGTGGAAATAGCATCCAGAAGATTAGCAACATCCATGAAATGAAGGGGTGAGGGAAAAGAAGCATGATACTTTGAGCTCTTAGTCTCTCCAATTCTTTTTTTTTTTTTTTTTTTTTTTCACTGGAGATCACTTTACTATGCAGCTATGCCAGCAGAGCTCCTAACCACGATGCAGAAGATACCATCAAAACAACCTTTCTACTGGAATAGTTTATACTATAATAAATTTTTTTGCACCTATCTTAGGATTTGTATATGAGGGTAAACTCTATGTGGCTGTTCTCCATTGGACTTGTGTACTGAAATATATCAGTGGCCAAGCATGTGGCATTCAGAAGCCCAGGATGGCTTTTGCTCCCCTATGCCAGACCCTGCCTACAAGCTGTGGGCAAGGACAGAGGTTTCCCCAGGCTGGTCTGCTCTCCCCCTCCCTGTGCTGGTCTCCCTGCTCCTGTCACAGAGCTCCTGGGTGGCAGAGTTCTGGCCCTCTTGGTCTTCAATAGCTTTGTGACAATTGAGAGTGTTTTTCTTGTCATCACCTACACACCAGTAATAGCCAAACACAATTTTAAAGGTGTAAAACTGAAACTCCAGTCAGCACCCTTGAGAAACACATATCTTTGCTTGAAGGCACCCTGCTAGTGCAAATGATCAGATGACTTACCCTGGGAACAGTTACGCCACATATAGATTTTATATATATATCTATATAAGTTATAATAAACACTGAGAACACAAATAACTGCCCCCACAAACAATTTAGGAACTTTGAAGAGACTCTAAAATACAACTCATGGCAACTGACCAAATAAACAAATTCTGTGAAATGCAAGAGAGAGAGGTTATTTTTGTTGTAATGATTATCTTATTTTCTAAGACATGATGAGTGAAGTTCTTAAAACAATATTATGGGAGAAAAGCCACAGTGAAAGAAAAAAATCGATACAGCAATCAGACAGCTTTCTGTGATCTCAGGGCTATTGTGCTAACGCAGAAAATGAAATAGTTTTCTAAAATGCAGTTCTATTTTAACTCTTCCTGTGATTAAAACAAAATAGAAATGGTACCATAAAAGCAGCCTTTTCCTATGAGATGCAAAACTGTATTTGGTCTTCAGGTACATTTAACATACCTAAGACAAAAATAAATGATTCAGCATTAACAATGACAGTTTGAATGTGCAAACTTTGCTGTGAAGTGTTTTGGGAATAGTAGCTCCTGCTGGAAGATGGAAAAACAAATTTAGTTGCTTCTGGCTCCGCCATTTGTGTGTATTTTCTTCAGGGAACTGCCAAATGCTTAAATATGTCAAGAAACATTTCATGCTGGGATATCATTAAACTTCAGTTCTTGTGGATACATACCTTTCAACCTCCACAGCTCAGACTGGGGATACAAAACGAGTCAAAGACTCAACAGGAAAAAAAATTATTCACACTGAAATTTTAAAATGCTGTGAAGCATTCATTCATTCCCACAGTGAAAAGAATTCTTTGATAAATTCCTTTTACTTGATGTAAACTATATTAGGCAAAGCGATGCCATTTGAAAAATAATGTAATCTGGAAATTATTTGAGGAAGATCTCTTGAAATGAGCCATATAAAATGGAAAATTGGAAGTCTGGGTGTCACTTTTGACAATCAGCTGAAGACAACCATCTGATTTTGCATATGCTATATAGACTATATTCTACAATAATTTCTCTAACCTATTAGGGAGGTCAAAATGTTCCCTCAAACACAAATAATTAACCCATTTTGTTTAGTTTAAAAAGGGGATTTCAAGGGTCGATTTCAGTTGTGTTTTAGTAATTCTATATCAAGGAATTGTTCTTTCTTTTTTTCCTCTCAGAGCGGTGTGACTCTGCAAACAGGGAAACATAAAATCCTCACATTCCATTTTGTTTTCTGACTGAAATGTTCTAGGTAAAAAAAGGTGTCACTAATTCGGAATATTAATAAAAATTACTGAAGTCCAATTTGTCTTCATGTCCTCTGTTCAATTTACTGAAAACTATCTTTCTAATTGCCGTCTCCCCATGCAGCAAAGTGTTTCAGAGTATTTCTGTAGTGTAAGAGCATAGCTTCACGTGGTGGGAGGGAGGGTGGCTCTGCACCTGGGAATCACAGAATCACAGAATGTCAGGGATTGGAAGGGACCTTGAAAGATCATCTAGTCCAATCCCCCTGCCGGAGCTGGAACACCTATGGGTAGTTGTGTCTGCAAGTGAGGAAGGGGTATTGGTGTGAGAGTGTTTCCACTGCTCATTTCATGTGGCTGCAGATTTGATGAGGGCTGTGCATGAGGAAGAGCTTGTAGAGAGAGGAGGAAGGAAAAGTCCACCCCTTGCCTGCAGACTCCTTGCTGGCCTCCTCGGGAACAAGCGGGGCTAATTGCCTGTGTGTACTCCCCTCTGCTCCCTAATAGTTTTACTCTTTGCAAGGAGATTAAAGTATTGCTCTCTGAACTCCTGCTTCAGATAGTAAATACTGATGTCCCCACATCAGTAATAGGCAACCTTGGAAGCAGGTGCTTTGGGATACTTAATGACGGCAGAGAAATGTCAGTATTCAGCAATGCAAAGATCTGGGGAATTGAAAAACAAGATATATATGGTAAAAAGAAGTATTAAAAAAATAACCATTACAAAAGAAGGCTTGGAAATCCTCACACAGCCTCAGCAAAGCAAAATATTTTATTATTCATACTTTAACAACTCCTAGAAGGGTATTAAAGTCTTCATAGTAAAGGGAAAAATCTCAGCTCAGCTCTGCTGTTAAGAAAATAAGGACAGAAGCCTACACTCCAGAAAGCACTGGAGGCTGAAGGAAGAAAAACACCCTTATGCTCTCCACTACCCCAAATCTTATGTTGTTACTTGGCAGGCTTGTGCACAATATAGTAGAGAAATATGACTGTAAAATAAAAAATTATGAGGTAAAAATGTAGACATTCTTTCTTTTGAAAAGGTCAGCACAAGAAACAGACATTGGCCTTTTAGTCACCATGCAGGCCTGGCCCAAGACCTGAGGGTAGATCATAGCAAGAGCTCATTGAGGGGGAAAGAAGATGATTAGGAAAGAGGATTTGGAGGCAATGGTGAGATTTGTGAGAGTGCAGGAAGAGATGCTAGTAAGAAAACTTAATATGAACTAACTTGTGATCTGAGAAAATCCTGGCTGAGACAATAATTCAGATTGGCAGGGATTGAAATATTTATAAAACTGAGCCTGAAGAACAAGGATAATTGACCTCAGAGGGAATCACAGGGAGCTGGCTACTGAGTGCTAGGACCACTTTGATATATTACTATCATTAGTGCTGGCTTGGATCGTGTTCCAAAATAGTCTACATTATTTTTCACTTTATCCCATCACTCCTTTCAAGGTGTCCACAGGACATGAGAGAATAATAATGATTCTTGACAAAATTGTAATACAAAAATGCAGCTGAGCTATCTAAGAGTGCATATGCTTGGGTAACTGCAGAGGTGCTTTAACTATTGTTCTTGCTGACTCCTTCTGTTATTTCAACAGATCCTTTATAATAGGCCGAAGTGCCTGTGAAGGAATGAAAACATTTTAAAAATGACTGTTCATTAATAAGAGGCAAATTCTCGGGTTTCAGGAAGATGGCAAAAAAATGTTCAGGTAGAACTGCCTTGTGTGCTCTGGCAAAGGGTCAAGCACTGGAGCCAAAGAAGTGAGTGGGAAGAATGTGTTGGAGCTGGTTGTGGATGGAGCTATTGCACCATTTGAGCCATATCTGATACCAGACGTTGATCCTGTGCTTGACTCTACAGTTGGCTCCTCAACTAATTCTACAAAACCTAACTCTGGGAAACTCCAGCTTGCACGGTCAGTTGCAGGACAGGGGTCTTATATCTAATGGCTCTGTAGACTGTCTTTGGTATTAAAAGTGAGTAAGCAAAAACTACAGACTGCAACTTTATCCCAGCAGTTTTCTTATTTTAGCAGACATCTATAAGAAAAGATACTGAAGTGTTCTTACTTTCTTCAGAAAGATCATTTTCTTCTGCTTCTCTTTCCATTTCTTTACACCATCCTTCCATTCTCTTAGTTTCAGTATGCAGCAACTTCATAAACCAAGATCCATCCCGACGACAAGGAGACATTCGACCAGTCTCTACTGTCTCAATGGCTGGCTCTAGCCAGGGTTCTGGTGGTGGAAGGTTTGAGGTGTCAACTGGGGTCCTATAATCTTCTCTGTAACTGAACAGTCCCTGTGTCCGTACAGTTCTCACTGCGCTGTATTGGGTGGGTGTGCTGGGCTCTGAGTGCTGCTGGAACGACGAGCCAAACTGAAGTCCCTTGTCCTCCATGGTGATGTGTCCTGGAAAGCCCTCCAGTTCCAGGTCAGCCTGGACAGCTGCTGTTACACTGTTTGAGCGCTTGAATCGTCCATGTCTTGGTGAACAAAGAAGAAAGAAAAGAGATTCAGACATATAAATACATACGTGATTATACAGAGGCACAGAATAATGTTTCAGTGAGTGGATTCTGGTTTACTCCTTGGACTTCATGCTAAATATTTTTCCTCTGTTATATCTCACTAAAATTAGACAGTGAGTAACAACAGAGAAGAAAACCAAAATGCATAGTGGCATCATTGATCTGAGCAAACCAACAAAAGAAAATAATTTCACTTATTTCTGGAAGCAAATATTGATTTATTCTCATACTACAAAATACCATGTATCATTACTAAATGAACTGGAAATAACTGGCAAAACTGCAGGGTTACACCTCCAGATAGAAGTTGATAAAGTACATGTATTAAAAAATTTCAAATATTAAGAACTGCAATTAGATAAAAAATAAATAAAATCTGAAAATCTGCTAAGTTTGGACTGTTGAGAATCCTTTAATAGAAGAAAAATAGCAGCAGCAGATTTAAGAGAGTGATATTTTCTACTTGCCTCCTATGATGGCCATTAAATGTTTATTTTCTATTGTGGTACGCCACCAGATTTTAGAAAAGCTGTATGTTAAAAAGTTAGATAGAGAAGCAAAGATTATTTGTGAAATCTTTTCACAACTGAGCCTACTGTTTCAAAGTACTTCTAGTCAATGATGGTAAAAGGCAATTAGCACCCAGATTCTGTTTCACAGCTGCAGTGAAATGAGATAATGGTCCCAGCCCAGTTCTTAACAGGCAGTGCCTGCCAGGGATAACCTGGGGGTTAGTACACTGGCCAGCAGTTTACTAAGCTAGAGAAGCACCTCTCCTATGAGGACAGGCTGAGAGAGTCGGGGCTGTTCAGCCTGGAGAAGAGAAGGCTCCGGGGAGATCTTATAGCGGCCTTCCAGTACCTGAAGGCTGGGGAGGGACTTTTTACAAGGACAGGGAGTGATAGAACAGGGGAAATGGCTGTAAACTGGAAGAGGGTAGGTTTAGATTAGATATTAAGGAGAAATGCTTTCCTGTGAGGGTGGTGAGACACTGGCACAGGTTGTCCAGAGAAGCTGTGGGTGCCCCCTCCCTGGAAGTGTTCAAGGCCAGGCTGGATGAGGCTTTGAGCAACCTGGTCAGGTGGAAGGTGTCCCTGCTGAGGGCAGGGGGGTTGGAACTAGATGATCTTTAAGGTCTCCTCCAGCCGATATCATTCTGTGATTCTATGACTGAACAAGTGTGAAAGCTGATTCTAGTGTAAGAAAAAGGTACCATGGGTTATACCCAAACCATTATACCCCCCTGTGTGGATTGAGAAAGCCTGGATCAGAGTGAAGGGTCCTATCGAAGGAAGAATATTCCAACATGCAGCTCTTTGCATGTATTCTGCCAATAATGAAATTATATTAATCCACTACTTACATTTAAAACTTTGACTTCCTTCTCTTCAGTTAAAAATGTAGAAGTTAACTAAATATTAAGCAACTGCTAAGTAATCTCTACAAATTTTACCAAATGACCAGCCTGCATGTAAGAAATTTGGTTTTGTGAATTATTTAGGGGCAGCACTTGCCAGATATTTGTTATTAACTCTGTTTACAAATGTGTGTTGTGTTATGGAAGACTACAGATTTTTGTACATGCTTGAATTACCGTTTTTCATCTTCCACTTGTATTCCAACAGAGTGGTATTCCCGTAGGCCTCTGCTTTCAGTATCTGAATCAGTTGCTGTTTCCACCTAATTCAACACAAAAGATACATCTGCAAAGTGAGCATCGACAACTCAGCACTATTTCTACCTGCACTCATTCAAAATTAATTATATATTTCCTCTTTTACTGCTAAAAAACAGCTGGCACAGTAAAATAAACAAAATAGGTATTCAACCTGTTATTTTTTTGATGCTGTTTTATAAAGTTTTACATGAGTACTTCTGTTCTGTTATGTAATTCCCTATTTCAAACCTAAGCAGATGCAATTATTCAGTTCAGTGGAAGCAGGGAGTAAGATTGGTCTAGAAGAGCTGTTCTTAGAATGAGGAATCCACAGGATACCCCCTTTTTATATTATTATAAACCAGCCTCACTATAGTCTTTGATTTACAAAATAAAATAAAATCTCAAGTAGTTCAATAAATTTGCAAGTGATGAAAAGAAATGCTGCAATGAAATTTAATTGACAACTGCGTTGACAAATATAGAACCATTTAAATGATGTGAGGGATACAGCAGCATGCCATATCTCACCTTTTTTAATAACATGGTCCTGAAAATGCTATATCAAGCAAGAAATTCATGCACTTTTTATAGTATTTCCATCTGAAATACACTTACCAAAATATATTCACAGCAGAGATTTCTTCGTAACTGAGACCACATTGTTTTTGGAAATTTCTGTGGGATTTTATATAACACTCCCCTCCACCACCACACCACCCCCAAGTTTTTGACACAGACATAATGAGTTCTGCAGCATGCAAATTATACTGAATCAAGGGAGAGTCAGGAAAAAGAAAAACAATAGGACTGAATTTTCCTTTTGAATTATAAATTCACTGTTAAATAAAAAACCCCCAGTTTTTCAATATGTTCCATGTGTCAATTCAAAGAGTAAGTATATCCTATGATGAAGACAAGGTAACTTTTCCCCTTGCAGCAGTCACAGGCACCTTTGGAAGGAGCCCAATGGCCTCTGCAGCTGCCTCTCAGCTGCACAGTCCCAATACCACCAGGTTTCTGGAAGGATGCAGAGAGGAGTAAGGAGGGTAGGAAGTGGATGTACATGTGGACTATACTACTTGAAGAAGCCAGTTGCTGGTAAGTTCTCTTTCCATATTCAAGCCGTAGCTCCATGTACTTTTGCATGGAAGGGATGCATCCATCCAGTAATCAGTACACATTCATATTTACCTGGGTGTGGGTCTTGGAGATGTTCATGGAAACAGCTAATGCAGGAACCCTTTCATAAACGTTAACGGCATGCTTGAATTGTACGGTGTAGCGTCAGGCACAGGTTTGCCAAAAGCTCCGGTTGCCAGTGTGGCAACTGTCAGGGAAAGACACATTTCCCAGCAATTCCATTTATTCTGCATGAGGTCTAGGGGCAAGTGCACTCTGCCATCTGTTTCCACCTCAGCATTTGCATGGAAGCTGGCTATATTCACTTGTATGGGCAGCACATTGAAAGAATCTAAAGTACTGGACTTGGTAACAGCCTCCAGGATTTGGTGGTGGTGTCAGTATAGAAAGAAAGATCCTTCTTGACATTAGCAGCAAAAAAAAGCTTCCACCAGAGAGGCAGGCAGCTTGAGGAAAAAAACCCACAACAACCAACCAAAAAACAGGCAAGTTGGTTTCCTAGTTAAGGTGGATCTTGCTTGCAACATGGGTAAGAAGCTTAAGCTGTACTTGGAGGGTCACCCTCTCCTGAAAGAACATTGCTATAAGTAGAACAGCCATAAGGTCCGGTTTCTAAGCACAAGAGAGATATATCAGGAAAGATACTCTTATTTATAGCATAGAAAGGTCCAAAAGAGTCTTGAATAATAAGTTCAAGTCTAAGTGAAGGACTAGGCACTCACCTAGCCCTTTCAGGGATGTGAGGAAAGCTCCATAGAAAACATCTTAATTAGAGACATGAGTTAACTGGGCCAAGAATAAGATACTTATCTAGCTTGTTGAGAGAGAGCAAAGAGGCAACACTTGCAGCCTTGGCTACAGTGATGAGAGCTCAGTCAAATATACATAGACGTGTTTTGAAGAGGAAAGTCAAGTTATCCTCAAAGGGAGAGGAGATGGTATGTAGTGAATAAGAGCAGATAACACAAAATGCTTAGACTGTAGCTCTTGGGTATGTCTGTGTGAGTGCTAGCAGGAAAATGATGTCCAAGATGGGGAAGCATTTTCTGGAGGAAGCCTTTTGATGCTGAAATCCATAGCAACATCTGGAGTGGTCAGGAAGTCTAAAACTGTTGCTAAGAGCTATGGTATTTGGCTTCATCCCCAAAGCAAACAATCAGTCTGAGTTAAAACACATAATTTAGGAACTTGATGAGTTTAAACTACAATAAATAATGCCATCAAAGGGCACATCTTCAACCAGGGATTTTGTCTCCTTCTGGAGATAAGACTGGAAGATGTTGTTAAAGTTGCAGAGACCATCGCCTTCCAAGCCATATCTGATGCATCACATAACACTTGTGAAAAAGCCAGAGAAGTTATCTTGATCTCAGACAGAGTCACTATAAAACCCTTACTGGAGGAGGAGAGTGACAAAGGAGACTCTGATTTCTGTTATTAAAGAACAGAAAGCACTTGGCAGTTTGGAAAGTGACACTGGGGGGATGCTTAAGACCATGATCTCAAAATCAAGATTTCTTCCTACATTCAGAAGATGTAGTAGTTATTAAAGTAGCTGACAGTGATATAGACAATCTGATTTCCTGAGCATTTCCAGTCTATTGTCTTCATAATGAACAGGCAGAAGACAGGTAATTACCAGGAAATATTAGTGGATTTCATCATGGCCTTACAGACTTAGCAAAGATAGTCAGATATCTAGTAATGTTGATGTCAGGTTAGAGGATTACTCGGTTTCATGCATTCTCCAAAAGGATGCATGAAGGTCTGAGCACTTTGTTTCCTAAGTCATGGAAACAAGGCATGGAAAGAGTCACTGACTCTGTTAGTGTTCTTGAGGCTTCTTCACACCAGGTAGATGCTGATGCTAACTGAGTGATAAAGTCAGTACACTTGGACTGTTCTGGACCATAGCTAAGGACTGTGTTGAACAGCCAATATGGCTTCACAGTTTGCGGATGAACCCAAGCTGAGTGGTGTGGTTGGTACTCTAGAGCAAAGGGCTACCATCCAGAGGGTCCTTGACAGGCTAGAGAGGCTATCCGAATCTTATGAAGTTCAACAGTGCCAAGTGCAAGGTCCTGTACCTGGGTCAAGGCAATCCCAAACATAGATACAAGCTGGGCGATGAGTGAATTGAGAGCAGCCCTGTGGAAAAGGACTTGGGGTATTGGTGGATGAAAAACTGAATATGAGCTGGCAACATGCACTTGCAGCCCTGAAAGCCAATCACATTCTGGGCTGCATCAAAAGAGACGTGGCCAGCAGGTCGAGGGAGGTGATTCTCCTGCTCTACTCCACTTTTATAAGACTCTACCTGGAATACTGTGTTCAGCTCTGGGGCCCCCAGCATAAGAAAAAGATGGACCTGTTCGAGCAGGTACAGAGGAAGGCCACAAAATGATCACAGGGATGGAAGACCTCTCTCGTGAAGGCAGGCTGAGAGAGCTGGAGTTAATCAGCCTGGAGAAGAGAAGGCTCTAGGGAGACCTTATAGTAGCCTTCCAGTACTTAAAGGGGGCCTACAGAAGATACGGGGAGGAACTCTTTAGCAGGGAGTGTACTGATAGGACAAGTAGTAACGGTTTTAAACTGCAAGAGGGTAGATTTAGATTAGATATTATGAAGAAATTCTTTACTGTGAGGGTGATGAGACACTGGAACAGGTTGCCCAGAGAAGCTGTGGATGCCCCCTCCCTGGATGTGTTCAAGGCCAGGCTGGATGAGGCTTTGAGCAACCTGGTCTAGTGGAAGGGGTCCCTGCCCATAGCAGGGGGGCCAGAACTAGATGATAATTTAAGGTCTTTTCCAACCCAAACCATTCTATGATTCTATTCTATTCTACGATTCTGTTGGACTGAGTCCAAGGAAAGGACCAACATCATTACTTCCACCTGTGGGATTGTTGATCAAGATCCTTGAACTTGTTCAGATAAACTGCAACTCCAGATGATGGTGTCAGTGATGCAGGCACAGGCTCCACAGCATTACAAGCCTGAAGGTTTGACAAAGGAAAAGGGGTTTGTGGGTGGCCAGGCAGAAGAAGCTGAGCAGATGGGAACACAGGATTCATTAGGGCTTCCTGCTTACTCACATGGCTTAGCGTGGAGGGACAGGACATTGTGTACCAGACCAAACCTAAGCCAAAGCCAGACAAAAGAAGCCAAGCTGACATATCCCCACCTGTCAGTCCTCAGCCTCCAGTTTTTCTAAGGCACTGCACTTCCTACATAAAGTCATATCCTTAGGATGAGCATTTCTACACTCTACAGCCCTTAAGACCTATGAATGAGTCCTGGCTGATGAGGTGGAAGCCCTATTGCTGGACATGGAAATAGGCTAAGGAAGGTCAATGGTATCATACTTGCAGGACTAACATACAGCTGTGGAGGTGGGCAACTGTCAATGGACAGAGAAGAGACTTTTGCTTTCCATGAGGATGCCTCAGAAGCTCAGACATAGGGCTGTTGGAAACATGATGGCCTAAAGACACAAACAAGGAAAGGTCTCTACAGAGAACATCAATTTGGTCAATTGATGTTGGAACAAAGCAGGCAGACTGGCAACACCCACTTTTCTTCCATATTGCATATCAAAAGCATACCTGGTTTTGCCAGCTACATTGTTTGGTTTAGTATCAGATAGCAAGTCTTCTTTTGAACTGCTTCTGATGTGTGGAGGCAAATTTCCCTTTTATATTTTGGATAGGCTGATGTGTTTCCAATGATGCAACACACTGAGAAAAAGTCTTTTTATTCGACATGTTTTCAAGTGCTTTCTTATTGGTATTTCACTTAGAAGTATATCCTTAATAATTTGCCCAATATGCAATTGACATCTAGAATTTACAGGCATAAAAGAAGTAATCTGCTCTAAAATT